ATGGGGGTACTCAGATGGGAGCACCTGCTCTATGGGGGTACTCAGATGGAGCACCTGATCTATTGGGGGTACTCAGATGGGAGCACCTGATCTATGAGGGTACTCAGATGGGAGCACCTGATCTATAGGGGTACTCAATGGGAGCACCTGATCTATACGGGTACTCAGATGGGAGCACCTAATCTATGGGGGTACTCAGATGGGAGCACCTAATCTATGGGGGTACTCAGATGGGAGCACCAGATCTATGTGGGTACTCAACTGAGGAAGCACTTGATCTATGGGGGTACTCAGATGGGAGCACCGGATCTATGGGGGTACTCAGATGGGAGACACCTGATCTAATTGAGGGTAAACTCAGATGGGAGCACCTGATCTATGGGGGTATTCAGATGGGAGCACCTGAATCTATGAGGGTACTCTGATGGGGAGCACCCTGATCTATAGGTGGTACTCAGCTTGGGGCAAAAAAAAAACTCCTCTCTATGAAGGTTTAGAGGTGAATCTCAGGATAAGCAAATATTGTCTAAATACCAGAGTCCTGTGTATTTCTTCTTGAATCTCGGTGTGTTTTGTTTTAATTCTTCCAGATCTGCGCAGTAAGCCAGTGTGAACTTTTCCCTCTGTGCGGGAGCTTCCTGTTATAAAGACCGGCTCATTGCTGCTCCCATCTCTCCTTGCACAGCGTTGACTGGTCTTGGTCTCTTCCGCCCCTCCTGGATGGTTTTCCTGAAGGCAGAGCTTGGCAATGGGTGGGATCCTGCCATGGTGTCCGCCCACAGCTCTGCTCTCTGGCCACAGGCTGGTGTACAGAACAGTGATGATGTCACTGCTATGTTTACAAGATAATACCTGGTTTTTGCAAGGGCATATGGTGCCACCCAAAGTGGACATGCATTGGTGGCTATTAGGAATTATATATTTTTAAAGTATTTGTGCTCAGAGTTTCAGCTGTAAACCTGAAAAATTGAAGATGGCCTTTTTTAACCAAATATATTTGTGTTTGAAAAATGTCTTACTAAAAGTATTTTTTTAAATCAGGTGTCCCAGCGAAGCTCCACAGCACAGCACATAGTAAGAGTGGCAGATCCGATAAATCTCCTTTACAGAATAATACTTCATTCTGTAATCAAATTCCAAGCGTCCTGCACAGAGGTAAGAATTGATTGGGCTACTCTTAGATTTAACCTTCATTTAATTTAAAAGGGACCTTTCTACAGGAACACGGCTACATCACACAAATGAGATCCATCACAAGGGACCTGCCAAAAGATTTGTGCTATTCAGTCTGTACACTAGGTGATAGTTAACACAGGCTCCCACACACAAGCAACAAACACGGTCTAGAAGTGCTGCTTTTCTCTGAAGTGATTATAAAGGTTTGATTATTTCTTTCATATAATAAACATGTTGATACTTACCTGCTCTGTGCCACAGCCAGCCCAGGATCCTCCTCTTCTGGGGTCCCCCGCCAGAACTCCTGGGCTCCTCCTCACCTTCCAAGTGCCACCGGGTCAAGGAAGCTGCTTGCTATGGGGCACATCGCTATGGGTTTGATCCCGAGCTGAGCTCGTGTGCGTCTATTGATACACACACCCTGCAGTTTCAGCCTTGCCCCTGCTCAATTGGAGTGGGACAAGCAACAGAGTCGCCAAATGGCTCCAGCTAGTGCTATCCATATCCAGTGAGCGGGAGAGAGAGAGTAGCACTGCTGCTCTCAGGCACAGCGCTGGATTCGCAGATCAGGACAAAAGGTATGTTTTTTAGGGGGGTCTGGGGGGAGCTGATCACAGAAGATTTTTTTACCTTAATGCCCAGAGAATTTCATTCAATAGTAATAAAACCTCCCTCTCAGCTTTACAAACCACTTTGAAGATTCAGAAAGCTCTTATTGGCCATACTATCTGTCTGGGTCACAAGAGTGCACTTGTGTTCCCCCACTGTGGACCCAGAATCAGCAAAAGTGGGCTAGTAGAAGGTCCCTCCGTGGGCTGATGTTCACAGATGCTGCTTCCAAAAGCTGTGGAAAGGATCCCAACCTTATTGTTGGGATCCGCCCAGATGCCTATTGACATGCTAGGCTTCCGCTCTCAGGCCCCCCCCCCACCCCAACACGGCTGAAACCTGCTGTCTGCTTTTAGGAGGACCGTGAACAAGCAATCACGCAGTCATGAGATCACTCCAGTAATGTCTCGTGGATTAGGGGAGAGTTGGTTGCGAGACAGCTGCAAGGCATCACAGTGATGCTGCAGCTTAGAAGTGGGGTAAGTGTATGTTTTTTTTTGTTTTTTTTTAGTACCCCCATTACATCTCAGACTGATGCTGCATTGTGGCGGGGAGTATGGATGTTTGTTTTTTTTTGAGAACCCCCAGATTTTCCTTTAATTGAACCTCCCATTTGGATGGTGCCCATGGTTAGTTCCATGGTGTGGCCACCAGACTACAGCATGACATTTGGGTAATAGGGGTGCATTCTTCCTACTGAACCACCAATGGTGAGGGGGACACATTTTGCAAATTGCCCCTGGATTTAAACTCGTAAGTAAAGACTCCCGAAAACATGAAAATTATTATTTTTAATACTGTTAGAGGATTTACGTTAGAAAAAGCCTGGTTTAGACCTTCCTGTAAAATCCTCCTCACCACCCCTACTAGATGCATTGTTCTCACCAGACTGTAGAGGGAACAACTGACATTTAGCAATTTGCCTGGGGTGCTCACAGGACTGGGCCTTCACTTTCTAGATTTCCCATTCACATTCTCTCACCAGTGATAACCAGCTCCCCCTAAAACTCTCACATTGATAACCAGCTCCCTATCTGAAGCAATCTACAATGCCTGATTCTTTATATCATAAATAAGATTTTATGCAGTTTGAATCAAGATTGCAATTAAAGATTGAGGACATGGTTCGTGTGCCTTAACATTTCCTCTATATTTCCAGAAATGTTTGTTCCTAGAATGGTGGTTCACCATAACCCGGCCTACCTGCAAGATTTTTATTCCAGCCCACGAATAGTGGCAGTGACATATCCTCAATGTGCACAGATGCTGGGATTCAGGCCATCAAGAGGCTGCCTTATGGTCTCTGCTTTTGACTTGATGTAGAAGGGGGGACTCTGATGGGAACCCAGATGAAAGGGGGAAACCCCTGATATAAAGTAGAATACTCTGATGTAAGGGGGTTGTGATGTTAAAAGGGAACTCATTTCTCTATAAAAAAATGTTTTGTGTTGTGCCCACAAATAATTTTGTAAAATAAACAATATAGCCCTCATTACTGCAGGTTCGGAGACCCTCTGCTTAGGGGAAAATCTCGTGAGACCCCTGATGTAAAGGGGTGCTCTACGGACTATGAGGTAAGGAGGGACCGCTGCAAAAATCTGTGGAGCCCTGGATGTAAGGGGGAGCTCTACGGACTCCTGAGTAAGGAGTGACCGCTGCAAACTCTGATGGTTAAGGGGGAGCACTAGTGAACCAGGGAACCTATTACAAACCAGATTTCCCCTTTACCACCATGTCAGCAACATTCCCCTTTTACATCAGGGTCCGGAGGAGAGTTCCCCTTTTCTCATCAGGGTTCGCGCAGAGTTCCCCTTTACATCGGGGATACCATAGAGTTTCTCCTGGCGCTATAAGGCCAAACTCGCAAGACTCTGATGTTACTGTAAAAAAAAGGGGGGGAACCTCTGATGTAAAGGGGGTCTCTGGGAAGGCTTGAGAACTTGATGTATGAGGTGGATTCTAAATGTAATGGACAGGAAGGGGGCCACGCTTGCAGAACATGTGAGATGGCCCCGCTTCCGAACCATAATAAAGGGCCCGTGACTGGAGGCCAAAGGGCTCCAGGCTCGTATCAGGGGGATCCTTGCATGGTCTTTTGCACCAGGGCCCGGAAGGTTGTAGTTATGCCTCTGCTTGCAGGAATTTACTAGATGGGCAAGCTGCTCTGACCCAGAATCTTGAGTGTTTTGTTTGACATAGTGTGGGTACATACCATTACACTCTGATGGGTATGGCTGGCAGGTCAATAATCTGGGTCTTAGCTGTCCAGCCTGACCCAGAATCTTGAGTGTTTTTTTGACATAGTGTGGGTACACACCATAACACTCCTAGCTGGGTCTGCTGGCAGTCCCATAATCTGGGTCTCCTAGCTGTCCATTTTCTTCTTTCATCCTCTTACAACCCACTTGGCTTCTCGCAAGGTTTCCTCGCACCTCGCATCCAAAACCCACTGATTTTGAGATGCTGCTGTGGTGCAATAATTTGTTAATGGCACCCAAACACAGATTGCCACACAGTGCATTTGCTTGCACCAGATGCGCAATGGAAAATACCGCAGTTACCATGTGATTTGGTGCTCGGTGCGTTTTTGACAAAAGTACGTTGCAGTGCTATGCTTTTACTATCTGTGCAATCTAGTGCAATTTCAATTTAATGCAAATATGAATGGGCTGAAACTCGCAGCGCTCTACAATGGGCGGTAGGAATGTGTGCGATTTCAGGTGTGAACCGGCCCTAAAATTCCCAGGTCGGTTTTCTTTTTTACTTTTGTATCAGTTACAAGTCCATACACAAGGGGTTTTTTTTTTACGTTTTTAAAATATGTATAATTATAGGCTGAGACCCTGTCATGACAGTATGACAGTATAATAGGCCACATATAAGCCAGCCATATAACAAATCTACCGTATTGCTGAGCGTATAAGAAGAACCCCCTACTTTTCCTGTTATAATATAGGGTTTGGGCTTACTCAGACCGTATGAACCGTATATAGGCCCTCAATCCCAACGCACAGCCATATAACAAATGATACCGTATTTGATGTGCTGGCGACAGACGAGACCCCTATATTCCTGTTCGAATATAGTAGTATGGGCTATTTCTGTATCGTTATTCGGTATGATGACTACCTATTCCTTCCACTGCACCACCAAATAAAAATGAAAAAAACATCAGATATGATCCTCCCCATGGAGGAATTTTCACGTATGGTATTCCACTGATGGGGTGCCTAAATTCCTCCACTGGACAAACCAATGATGGGGTGCTATTCATCCCCACTGACACCGATGATGGGGACATATACCTCCCACTTGATACCAATGATGAGGCACTACGTCCCCACTCCTCCACTGACACTAATGATGGGGGCTCTATTTCATCCCACTGACACCATTGATGGGGCACTATTCCCTCCCACTGATACCAATGATGGGACACTATTTACTCCCACTGACACCAATGGATGGTTGCCCCCATCATTAGTGTCAGTGTGGTGACAGAATAGTGTCCCATCATTAGTGGTCAGTGGGAGGAATAGTGCCCCATCATTGGTGTCAGTGGGGAAGATGTCGTGCCCCATCATTGGTGTCAGTGGGAGGAATAGTTGTCCCATCATTAGTGTCAACATTGGTATCAGTGGCAGGAATTGCGCCCCATCATTGGTGTCAGTGGGAGGAATAGCGCCCCATCATTAGTATCAGTGGAAGGAATAGTGCTCGATCATTGGTGTCAGTGGGGAGGAGGAGGAATAGTGCTTCATCGTTGGTGTCAGTGGGGGAGGAATAGTGCCCCATCATTGGTATCAGTGGCGAGAAAAGTGCCCCATCATTGGTGTCAGTGGGGAGGAGGAAAAGTGCCCCATCGTTGGTGTCAGTGGGGGGAGGAATAGTGCCTCATCGTTGGTGTCAGTGTGGAGGAGGAATAGTGCCCCATCGTTGGTGTCAGTGGGGGAGAGGAGCGGCTGCTCCTTCTTTCAGTTCGGCCGCTTGATTTTCGCGGGGTCGTTCGGCTCCGCCTCCTTGCCGGTGATTGGTCGCCTGTGTGCCTTTCCAGTGCTGGCGCCCAATCACCGGTGAGGAGGCAGAGCCGAGCGGGCGGCGGGACCATCGAGCGGCCGAACTGAAAGAAGGAGCAGCCGCGCTTCCTGGACTGGATCATCGTGGGACCGGGACCGGAGCCAGGTAAGGTACAGCAGCCCCTCTGCCCACCCCTGTACTTGGTGTCCGTTGGAGGAGGAGGGGGGGGTGGCGCCGCACCTCGAAAAAGTGCCGACCTGACACCGGCTCGCCGTATACCGGCGTATAAGACGACCCCCGACTTTTCAAAAGATTTTCACGGGTGAAAAGTCGTCTTATACGCTGGCAAATACGGTAAATGTGAACGATTCAGCAGGAACCAGCCGAATTTCAATCCCTCTATGATCAGGCTGGTATAACTTAAGTCGAGCTATCTATTGATTGACTTCAGTGCAACCAGCCTGTGTGTTTTCTTTTTTTTTTTTCTTTTCTTCGATCACTATAGGCACCAGCATTGATCAATGTATTCTGACAGCGGGGAAACCTTCCGCCTTCAGAATACAATAGCACAGTGGGAGGGATTCCCCCAACACTGTGTTGATAGGGAAATTGAGCAATCTCCTTTCCTTCAACCCATGGTAAATGTATGGCCTGCCTTAGACCATGTACATTTAGTGTGCAACATGCAGCATGGTTGCATAAACCATTTCCAAAACTAGGGTTGCACCTATACCGTGTACTTGTGCAAATGCTCTTGATACTGAAACTGATACCTTTGTGGTGCAATTTGAGGCTATACAAAATGAATGGGCTCAAATTGCACTGCAAAGAATTGCATGCAATCTAAACAGGAATGCGGTGCAATTCCTGTCTGAATCACATGCGGTTTTGCGCACAGTTCCTGTGTGAACCCAGGCTTGTCATAGTGACTTTGACCCTAAATTGACCCAGGGAAACCTCCCTGCATGACATAAATCGCACTGCATTCCTGCTCAAATGACATGCAATTCTTTGCAGTGCGATTTGAGCCCATTCATTTTGTATGGGTTCAGATTGCACTGCAAAGGTATTGATACTTGGTATCGGTGAATACTTGACCGAAAGTATCAGTACCCAGACTCGCCGATAAAAAAAACAATATCTGTGCATCCCTACCCAAAACCCATACTGCACCCCCTTGTCTGAATAGCGGGGTGATTCTTCTTGCGGCATTATGTGATTATTTGAGTTCAGCATGGCTGTGCGGCAGGAATCACTCACAATGAATTCCCTCATGTCCCATCTGTCACCGCAGCATTTTTTAAAGCATTTTTCTTCTGCTTTTATTAACTGGAAAACTGATCAATATGAAAGGGCCCTAAGATAACACGTTCCCTGTAGCAGTGCAGTAGCCTTCATGAGTGTTCTTGTACCAAACTGGTTAATCCCATTACAAATGGCCTGCAGCAGGTATGAGCAGGTATGAGAGCCGGCACCTGTGTAAGCATGCTGGATTTTTGCCGTTGTGTGCTTACAAAGGTCACCGTGACTCTCGCAGGATACTAAATAGAACTGGGTAATCTTTACTGAAAGCTGAGCTCTGACATACTGGGAAAAGCAGCAGCCAAGCACCGTGTGTTCTTTAAGGGACCCGTCACTACAATGGGAGCTGTCATTGCTGACTGTCATCCTGATCCTTGCTTCACTGTTTAGTGAGTTACTGAACTGTTACAACCTTGAAGAATGTAACAATAAACAGTGCAGCGCTCAAAAAATAAAGGCAGTATAAAGTCTATGCGATATCCATGGAGTTGTCTGGATTAGATGAAGAACTTCCAGAGTATTTACTGCTTCAAAATAATAGCAATGCGCACTCACCAGAAACGCATGGATTATGTGTATGTAGGAATAATCATCCCAGATGTCAGATCCATCGAAGACCAAGTGGTGGGCATCCTTCTCACGGTGGGTCATCAAAGACTCCAAATCAGATCCAGAGGTCCCCTTAAGGCTAGTCAGGTAATCCACACTGATAGTATTGATCCCTCTTCTGGCTGGTATAGGCACCCTCTCTGTGGGGGGGTAATAGCTCCACAAAGGAGCCCCAAGAAACAGGTGCCAGAGATAGTGTAGTATGTTCTTAGATGATTTTATTTGTCAAAAACAGCAATAGGGCAGTATGCACATCACAACATATATTAGGAAGTGAAAGACAGCATTACTGACCCCAATAAAGATGGCCGCCGGGCCTCCTCGTGGCTTCGGCGGTAGGAAACGACGTCACGCTCTGCACAGCTCCTCCTTAGGCCTTTCGTGCTACAGGCACATCATCAGAGGGGAGGCTGTACCAGGTTAGTGTCTCATTAGATGGTAAAACTGGGATAAGGATGACCGCTGCAGTGCACAATAATCAGTACTATAGATACTAAAGTCTATTTCTACTTTTGCAGCGAAATTGGGAAAACACCTACTTTATATTTGACACGTTCCCAATCACATAGCATAACTAAAAAAAAAAAAAATTAAAAATTGCTGGTTACTTTTTTTTTTTAGTTTGATCATCCAACAAGGAAAAATCCCAGGTAGTTTTCTTTGTTTATGAATGGGCTGGGCAGCTGTGTTTGCCATAATTAACCCTTATCAGTTGTAGCTAGATTTGAACAATAGGGGGTTGATTTATTAAAAATGGAGCATGCAAAATCTGGTGCAGCTCTGCATAGAGACCAATCAGCTTCTACGTTTTTTTTGTGAAAGCTTATTTGAACAAGCTGAAGTTAGAATCGGATTGGCTTCCATGCAAAGCTGCACCTGCTTTTGCACTCCCCCGTTTTAGTAATCAATCCCTGTCCTTACAAACGGTTAAAGGCTTAGAAGTTAGGATTCTTGCATTGTATGTTAATGAGGACAGACCTGGGACAGGCTCACTCTAACATAGTTCAAAATACTTTACAGTCAGCCATGACACCTCCTCCTGAGAAACATCTAAAGTAAAAAAATATTTAAATAAAAACATTTTTTAGGCATGCTGTGTGAATGGGAGCACATAAGAAACATATAGTGGGGTTTTCTCACATTTGACTGCAGAAGTGGAAATACACTTAAAAGTAGATGTAAATCCAGTCACTAAAATCTGATATATGCTTTATTCAAAGCCATTTTCAGTGTTTTTTAAAAAAATAATACCCAGTTATCCTGCTGTGAAGGTCACTGTTCAGGCACTTCTTGTCATAGGGAAACAATGCTCTGCTCTTGTCTTCCAAATGTGCTCCTGCTTTGTATGTGGCCATTTCAACACACATAAAACCGGCATGGTCCTATTGTCACCATCAGATAACACACTCTGAGAAATACCATGCGGCCATCATTGGAGAACATGTAGATGAGAAGTGGCTGCAAAAAAAAATGATAAAAGGCGATACTTTTCTAACTACTTTAACCACCTCCTGCCCGCCATGTAAGGAAATGACGGGAGGGCAGTGGCTCTTACAGTGGATCATTGATTCAGTAAAAAGCTGATCACAGAGGCTCTTTCATGTGATCAGCTGTGTCCAATCACAGCTGAACGCATGTAAATAGGAAATGACAGTTATCGGCAGTCCTCTCCACACACTGACAGCGCGAGGAGAGGAGAGACAGTAAGCCGCATTCCCCTCAGAGGGGACATCTACACTGATCATCAGTGTCGTGATTGTCAGTGTAGCCCCATCAGTGCCACCTGTCAGTGCCCATAATTGCCACTTGTCAGTATATATCAATGCCACATACCAGTGCCCATCAGAGCTGCCTTTCAGTGGCAGTCAGTGATGCCTATCAGTGTTGCCAATCAGTTCGTCAGTGCCACCTAACAGTTCCAATCAGTGCCATATATGAGTGCTGCCTTTCAGTGCTCATCAGAGCTGCCTTTCAGTGGCAGTCAGTGATGCCTATTAGTGCTGCCAATCAGTTCGTCAGTGCCACCTAACAGTTCCAGTCAGTGCCATATATGAGTGCTGCCTTTCAGTGCTCATCAGAGATGTCTGTCAGTGCCTAGCAGTAATGCCTGTCAGTGCCTCCTCATCAGTGCCCATCACTGCAGCCTCATTTGCACACATCAGTGAAGGAGAAAAATTATTTATTTACAAAATTTTGTAACAGAAACTAAGAAAAAAATTTTTTCCAAACTTTTCAGTCTTTATTAGTTTAAGGAAAAAAAAAAAAAACCCCAGTGGTGATTAAATGCCACCAAAAAAAAGCTCTATCTGTCTCAAAAAAGTGATACAAATTTTGTTTGGGCACAGCGTTGCATGACCGTGCAATTGTCATTCAAAGTGCGACAGCGCTGAAAGCTGAAAATTGGCCTGGGCAGGAAGGGGGTAAAAGTTCCCAGTAGGCAAGTGGTTAATGGCCCTTTAACACCTTTCCAGTCTGCTGTAGCACCTTAAAATTCGCCATTTCATCTATTTACATGCTGCAAATGTATGGCACAGACAAAAAAGGTCTCTGCAATACCACCTACTGCATTTATCTGTTGGGCTAATATTCTAAATGCACCTCAGTAACTGTACTGTGTGTTAACTTACATTACATGAATGCATGGTAAACGTATGTTCTGCTGTGCGTCACTGCAACACATTGGTGTGAAGAAAGCCTAAAGGTTTGCTTCATGCAAGGAGATGGTTGGCTGGTATTTTCTGCGGCTGATGACAGTACAATTGAGGCTGATATTCCTGGGAGGATGAAGATGTTACAGAGAAGAGAGCAGTGAGAACGCGAAGTCTGATGGGAGGTCTGTGTTTACAAAAGTACATTTGAGATGCAGGATGACCATATTTTGATCTTTGAGTTTAAATCAGATGAATACATTCCAAGTGCTAGGCCCTAGGACCTATTTATGCCACACCGGTCTGTTGCAATGCATTTATGTTGCGTTTATGTTTGTT